TCTTTTTCCTGTTGTCCCCTGAGTCATCACTTAGTGAATCCCACTCGTCATTGTCAATTACCTCCAAATCATCTTCTTCAACACTATCTTCATTTCTTTGACCACCCATTCTTTGACATCCATGAACTCTGCTTCTATATCAATATTTAGATTGAAATCCTCCATGTCAACGTCAACATCTTCAATTATGTTGTCCTCATCAATCATAAAGTCACTATCTTCATCTTCACTGTTTTGATTCTCAAACTCAATGTCATCAGGCTCCTCTTGTCTGCACTCATCATTGAAAGGAATATTATCTTGGCCTTCAAACCCATTAAATGGGATGCTATCTTCATCTTCAAACCCTTCAAAAGGTTGAAAGTTTGTCATTAACTCATCATCTATGTTGATGTTAGTTGAAAATTCATTGACTCCTTGAGGATCATTATCCATGACAACTCTATACCCCTCATCTGCAAATCCTTCTACACCCTCACCATTGGATTTGTTCACATCAAGTTCTTCATTCACATCAATCTCTTTGTTTAATTCTTTTTCTGCATCAACTACAACAAATTCATCTACAAATCCTTCTACACCCTTACCCTTATCAACTTCACCACTTGCCATTGTTTTTTCAGCACCTTCCCAATCCAATTTAAGCATTCTACTACAAGACGATGCCCCTTTACTATGTTTCCAACCTTTAGACCTACTAAATTCAGGTGTTGCTGATTTGTATAAGGTTAATGCTAACCCTAAATCACCCTCACCAACATCAATTTGGATTGGAGTTACCACTTCATGAGCAACTACAGGTGATGAGGTCTAATGCAATCCTGCTTCTCCATGTCTTCTATTATAACCCTTTTTGGACCAGTTGGGGACATAAAATATGTAAGCAAGTTCGTTTGACCATGCTCTGTGTACACTTTAATCATTTTGTTATTATGGGTAACATATCGTGAGAGATTACGCACATCATCATCGTTACCTAATGCTCGGAGTCCAAAGTCAAATCCTTCATTAGGCAAACGGAAATGGTAATACATGATTTCAGTACCATCATACCCTAATTCTCTCATCATCGAGTCTAGTTCATGAACAGAAAATTCATCAATGTCGACAACATCAAAGTACCTTACTTGGCCATTAATATACCTGATATTTGGAAACTTTGTGAAACTCCCTCCGTGATGAAGTTCAATAGAGAATATGTTAGGGTAACCATCTTCAAAACAGAAAGAGACGATTATTAGTTAGAGTTTTTCAAAGTTTGAAGCTTGATCATAAAATACAGAGTTTTTCTAAGTTTGAATCTTACCATAAACTTCTTGAACGTTGACAATCTCTCCAACATTTCTAAGTCCCCACATTTTCAAAGTTTCAGATGATCGTTAGGGTTTTTGCGTTTGAATCAAGAGGTATGAGTAGAAGACAAGGAGTGAGGAATGAGTAGAAGACGAAGGAGTGAGTACAGTCTGAACTCTTATTAATTGAAGTGGCGGCAACGGAGGCTGACCTAAAATGACCAAAATGCCCTCACATGGAGGGCACGTGAAGGCACTAACGGCCCCAAACAAACGGTCAATGACGGAATGGACTAAAAACCCAAGAAAACCTTGATTTTGGACATTTGGTGCAAGCTGGAAACTATTTGGACCCTATCCAAAGGTTTTGGCAAACCACAAGGACCAAATTCGCAGTTTTGTCTATATAAAAATATAAAATAGCAAAGATAATTTGACTATTTGATTTCTCTTATCGGATTATATAATATTTAGGTAATATCTAACTAAAAGTTTAATTGTACAAACTGGGACACTATGGAACATGTTAAATATAATTCCAAAATTATCATAGGGCATTTAGACGAAAGTAAGAAAATGTTGAGTTTAAAGCAAGAAAAGAGCAAGAGGACAATTTGTATGAGACTTGACTTCTTCGGGCTAATCATAAATCCAACCAATAAATATCTACCTTAACTAATAAATCGAACTATTTTGAATTAAAAATATCAAACAAATTCGTTTTAACAATATCAACATTCATAAATACAATCTCATTTAACAACTCTGGATATTATATGAGAAATATTCAAAACATGTATTTTGGATTCGATAATCTACTATGAGAAATATTCAAATATAACCCAACTTTTATATACATTTATCTAGTGAGCTTTAATTTCAAAACATGTATTTTGGATTCCATAATATATTATGGGTGTGTTGGGTACCATATCACAAGAACTTCTAAACAGTTTTAACTTTTAGCTTTAAAAAAAACTCGAAAAAAAAAATGTTTCGTTCGATAGTAGACGTGTTTGGCAAACTAGCTGGTGGTTTGTAGCGTTTTGTTAAAAACTGTATGATATAACTTTCAGATATTCAACATTTTGTTTAAACTAAATGTTAAAAGTTTGTAGTGCAAAGCAAAACTTTTTATATAAAACAGACTGTTTTGTTAAACGTCAGAAGCTAAAAGCTCTCAAACGTTTTGTATCAAACATGTCCAATATAAGATTTTAACTTTTATTTTAAACAAAATACTAATAATCAAAAATCTACGTTAAATAGCTTTTAGCTTGTGATGTTTTTAGGTATTTTGAGACTTTTAAAAGCTAACATCTAATTTTGTAGAACATTTTTACATAAATAAAAGTTACGACTTCCAACTATCAACTATCAACTAATTGCTAAACACAACTCAATGTTTTTTACATTTGCATAAATATTTCTCAGTATAATTTTTTCTACATCTCTAAATCCAAAATGTTTAGATTTTCAAATAATTCTTGTATCCTAATCTATTTTTAATGTGTTTTTTTTTTCATAACTTTTTTTAGCTTTCAGTAAAAACCAAAATCTTTTTTAGAAATATTGGATTTGCTCATCAAATATCATATATACGTTTTTTAAAATTTGGAATAATTTTCCTTTCTTTTTTCCATCTGAAATTAAAAATCCAAAATACAAAATATATTTTTGCTTATTAAAGAATACATATACATGTGTGATCTGAAATATCTGATTAGTACCAAACAAAATTAATTTGATCAGAAATACCTTATTAATGTACAATTCAACCATTAATAGTGATTACAAACGTGAAGCAAGCGACATGTGCGACTTGTTGGGCCTAACTTTTTGGATTTTCCACCAATCGCATCTTCTCCTGCAAACTATTCACACTTCACTCCTTCAGATTTTTTTTTTTTTTTTTTTTTTTTTTTTTTTTTTTTTTTTTTTCAAAACAAAAAAATCTTCTAGTAGATAATGTTTGGGATCCCATAATGTTTATACAAAATACTTGGAAATACGTATAAATTCATCTTTCGAAAATATCAAATAATTTGATACCACTTTTCATCTATCCACTCGTTATATAATTCATTTAAAATTCGAATTAAGTATTCCAATCCCCATCTCCTTTTCCCATTATAAAACCAAACACCCTATCCCCACCATTCTCACTCCATTATTCTCATCTCTCTATCCCATCTCCTCCGCCTGCAACCATGAAGGTCGTATCCATGGCTATCCTCTTCCTTTTCGCCCTCTTCGCCGTCTCCTCCGCCCTCGACATGTCGATCATCGGCTACGACGCCACACATATGACCGGCGATTCCTCTTCCACCAACTGGCGTACTGACGATGAAGTCAATGCTATGTACGAGTCATGGCTCGTGAAACACGGTAAAACCTACAACGCTCTTGGGGAAAAGGACAGGAGGTTTCAGATCTTCAAGGATAACCTCAAGTTCATCGACGAACACAACTCCGGCGACCATTCCTATAAGCTTGGACTTAACAAGTTCGCCGATCTGACAAACGAAGAGTACCGGAAAACCTACACCGGAATCAAGACGATCGACGCTAAGAAGAAGGTTTCCAAGGCTAAGAGCGACCGGTACGCCGCCAGCCCCGCCGATAACTTGCCGGAATCGATTGATTGGAGAACAAAAGGCGCCGTTTCCCCGGTCAAAGATCAAGGAAGCTGTGGTAAGTTATTTCCTTTCCACAATTACTTTGAAAAAGTGTCGATAACATAATCGCAATCATGAACAAAAAAGTATATGCATCATGAATCATGACTGACGTATATAACTCATATTGACGAAAATAACCCTGTATCAGTGAAGGGTATTTAGGTAATTAGAATAGTAGTTAGGCGTGCTTTACTCGAATCAGTTTTGTTCATAGTCAAAATCATAGTATGTGTCGTAGCTTATCGATGATTTGGATAATTGGTAAACAAAGAAGGACAATAACGTAATTTACTTTTGTTATTTATAACTTTAATAATACAATCATAGATCTTATCAAACCTATCCATACTCTTTTTTAAAGTAAACAGCAATATGTAACTTCAGTGGCTACCTATTATCAACGTTCATGAATCATGAACCACAACCAACCACATCATTCATTAAAAAAAAATAGTTTCTTTTTCATTTGTACAACCACTAATCAAACCAATCCAATATTTGGCTCTTTAGTGAAAGGAATTCAATTCATGTATTTGGCTCTTTGATGTTCATGTTTTATTGTAGGGAGTTGTTGGGCGTTTTCAACCACAGGATCAGTGGAAGGGATCAACCAGATCGTGACAGGCGATTTGATTTCCATCTCAGAACAAGAGCTTGTGGACTGTGATACCTCTTACAATGAAGGATGCAATGGAGGTCTCATGGACTACGCATTCGAATTCATCATCAAAAATGGTGGAATTGACACCGAAGAAGACTACCCCTACACAGGAAGAGATGGGAAATGTGACACCTACAGGGTTCGTTCATACCCAATAATAACTAACTTTCACCATTTTTAAGTTAATCCGGATTCACTTTACTTTATTTAACTTTGGTGTTTTTTGTTATGTAATTTTGGTTTATACAGAAGAACGCAAAGGTCGTTTCCATTGATGGTTATGAAGATGTTCCAGTCAACGATGAGTCAGCATTGAAAAAGGCCGTCTCAAACCAGCCTGTATCCGTTGCTATTGAAGCCGGTGGTCGCGATTTTCAGTTCTACACTTCGGTAATGTCAACCAAACGCTTTTTCAAAATTTTTATTTTCCAAAATGTTTACTTATTCATATTTACTATTTCTTTTACTCAACCTCTGTATCTAACCTATGATTGGTTGGGATTATTGCAGGGTGTGTTCACAGGACAATGTGGGACCGCTTTAGACCATGGTGTGCTGGCAGTTGGGTACGGGACCCAAGACGGGAAAGACTATTGGATAGTGAAGAACTCATGGGGAGCGGAGTGGGGTGAATCAGGTTACTTGAAAATGGAAAGAAACATTGCGGATAAAACAGGGCTTTGTGGTATAGCAATGGAGCCGTCCTACCCTATTAAGACGGGGCAAAACCCACCGAATCCTGGCCCATCTCCACCATCGCCGGTCACACCTGAAACGGTTTGTGATGAGTACAGCACCTGCCCGGAAGGAACTACCTGCTGCTGTATCTATGAGTATTATGGTTATTGCTTTGCTTGGGGCTGCTGCCCGTTGGAGGGAGCTACTTGCTGTGAGGATCATTATAGTTGCTGCCCACATGATTACCCTATTTGCGATGTGCGCAGGGGTACTTGCTCAAAGGTTAGTCTGTTACCTTAAACTAAGCTCTTGTTTGTTATGTAGGATAGGACAGACTTTGTCCTATCCTATATAACAAGATAACAAACTTTTTGTACCATTCAAAAAGTTTGTTACCTTAAGCTCATGTTTGTTACATAGGATACGACAGACTAGCATTGTATTGGTTTGCAATGCTAGATTGTTCTGTCATATCCTATGTAACAAAATAACAAACTTTTTGTATCATACAAAAAGTTTGTTATATTAGGAACACGGTAGCGTGTTTGGGTTCTATCATGTCATATGACATGAGAGAACAAGTTTGCTCGTATTGCAATTTTTGTGCATTGAATTGTACAAATTAGTAAATTTAATTGGACTAGAATTACAATTTGTAATTTTTGTGTCATTCGAAAAAGTTGAAGGAGTATGTGAAAAAGACGTGAATACCCTTTCATTTGGATGTTTGTGTTGTTTTGTATTTGATTGATGGTTTGATTGTTGATGAAAACAGAGCAAGAACAGCCCGTTGGAAACAATGGCAATCAAGAGGATTCTTGCAACACCAACCAAGGCAAAGAGGAACATTGCTTAAGAGGTGAAAGATGAAGAGAGAGAGAGAGGTGATCACGATTTGCTTTGAGGGGTTGAAATCTGATATGATAGTTTTGTTTATCAGATTTTTGATTTGTAAATACTCTGGCATTGATTCTTCCTGTACTATTTATTGCATTTGAACAGATTCCCTGCTATTTCCACAACTTTAATCTAAGTCTGCAAATAATCTTTTATGACAATCTTGCTCTCTCCCCCTTGTTATTTGGTTAATTTCAGCTTCTTTTTACAACATACATTCTTACATTTCATGCATAGATAATTCATATGCATAGATTATATACACAAAGTTGCCTTTTCTATTAATTGTTCCTATTATGTCTTTGTCACATACTCACATAAAGTAAAAAAGAAATAAGCGGAGTCTATTTAGGAAGGAAGCTTCTAAAGGTAAGTTGATTGGTCCAAAACCAGCCATCAATGGAGATGTTTTGTCACACTCTTCTTTATTTTGATAACTACAAACCTTTCATATTTATGTGACATCATTATCTTTGTTTGATAATCTGCTTTGGTATCAATCGATCATCATAAAGTTACAACAATGCATTATTTAATATGAATCAAACAAAAAGTACTTCGTTATTTCTATACAATTTTCCCCAAATGATCATGTTTCAAAATGGCAAACAGTCTGACCATATAAATCGTTATAACAATTAAGGCAACTAACAATTTGTTTTTCAATATTGCAGGATTGTAATGTATAACAAATTCAGTTAATGAAATCGCTATTTTAACTTATAATAATCATCTAATTGGTTCAATATACCTGTAAAATGCAACAAATGTGACCAAATGAAAGATTCAACTTGCAACAGGGGATGCATCATGAACCACTTCTTCAGTCCTTCCTGTGTAACGCTAGAAACAGATGAGAAATGCATCATCCAATCAGTTTACAGGATCGAGATTAATCTGAGAAGTTTAGGTATAATTTTGTTACCCGTTTGCCAAAAGTGTAGGGAACATATCTATGCTTTATCATATGCCTTATCTGTCTCCTCATTGTTGCAACAAACAACACAATCCAATAGAACAATAGAATCGGCCAAAATACAGGAACATCAAATACACGGAAGAATGTCAACACGAAAGCAAGGCAAGCTGCTTTTGTAATTGAATACCTGTAGCCAATTGCAATAGAATCAATCGAAAATAACATACGAGAATTAGGTCAAAATGTGGGACGCACCAGAACTTGAATTCGGGAAGACGACGAACGAAGGGGCGGAATTCTTCGGATCCATGGGTAGGTAGGGAAAGGCCATCGAAAGGTTCTTCGTCAAATTCGGGATCAACCTGAGGCGAAAGGAAAGTGATGAAGAGCTGAAGAATGTAGATCCCTAGGCCGTATGTTACGATGTAGTAACCGTGAACGAAGGAAACACGGAGGACGTAGATGAACAAGACGACGCCGAAACCGATCCAACGGTGGCGGACGTATGGTGTTGACTTGTCGAGAAGGTGTTGGTATCTTTGGGAGACGGTGTACGTCCAGTTGGTCAGGGCGGAGGATGTGTGAACGTTGTCGTCTCCACCACCATCGCCACCGCTAGTGACATTCATGTTTTCACTCCTTTATTTATTTATTAGTATTTTTCGAATTTCTTTCGAGGGTAAAACAACTGTCATCACCAACATCTTCCTCTGGCAGTTACTTTATGCCTTTGGGCTTCTTACTTCTCTCGTGTGATCATGAAGTCATAGACCTATAACCCATTTATATATTTATTAAATCTATTCTAATAAATAAAAGATCATTTTGTCAAATCTCATCTTCTCATTTGACACATCTAATTTTGTAAAATTTTTGATTAAATTTAAATTCACATGTCATTTTGTAGTTTTTTTTTTTTGAATTAAATCCATTAATATGCCACATAATACTAAATTTATATATGTAAAGTATTAAAAATATATTTAATGTGATAATAAATGTAAAGAATTTTAAAAAATACATAAGATATATTAAAATACATTGAATATGATAATAAATTTAATGAATATGACAAAACAATCATTGATATTATGGATGATCTTCTCAATAGTGATTTTTTTTTATTTGAATATGTATATTTATTTTGAAAATTTATTTTAAAAAATTCTTAATATTTAAACTTTGATATATTTTTTTTAACCAACCCGTGTAATACACGGGTTTCACACCTAGTTTGTTGATATATAATCGGAGAATTCTCTAATAAACTTTACATTTTAATCTCAAATTAAATTTTATTTATAAAAAAAAGACAGATTACCGGCTAAAACTTCGGAATAATGCTTTGTGGTCGGTTTCACAGAGTTAGCCGGTATCTCGTATTTTTCATTGGTTGAGCCAAATTTTAGAGCTTTCTTCGTTAATTGATCAAAATTTTAGGGTTTTTTAATTACTTTTTTTTTTTTACCAATAACCAAAATATTAGGATTTTTCTGAAGATTACATCTAAACTAATGTATATTATATGATCTAAGTTAATATGTAAAAATCCTAGTCTTTTTTCTTGCGCTCTTTCTAAGATTACCGTGTGTTTTCGTCATCGTTGTCGAATCCAACAACAAAAAGCTCATTTACAAGCATCGTTAACTCCATTGATTTTCCAAATTCATCCATTCACAGCTTTGAGATCATTTTCCAATCTACAAATGAAGAAAGGAGAAATTATTAAGGCTTAATAACAACTTATGTACAAGTGAAGACTAGCATTTTTGGTGGTTTACTCTTGCTTGGTGGAGACTTCTTGAGAAACTTTACTTTGAGTCGTTTTTCATCTGCATAAACTTTCAACCTCCCGAAAGGAATCACAGTCTTCAAAGTTTATAACTCTTTCATTTTAGCATTTTTAGGAAAATGATTTTTTGAATAAAACAACAATAATTTGTACCAGAGCTATTTTTGCATTAGATTATTATATTATTTGGCATAAACTTTGCTTTTGAAAAATATGAATGATTTTCTTTTTTGTAAGAAAATTCTTTACATAATTTCTATCACAACTTTAAAATGGTTTTAATTGTTATTTTATGTGACAAAATTTACATGCATATTTTGTCATCAAAGTTGTTTTAGAAAAACAAAATGTTATTTTATATATTGTTTGAGTGTGTGTGTGTGTGTATGTATGTATGTTTGATGTGCATAAACTATCCATTTATAGGAGGCTGAGCCTCGCACGTACGCTGGGCGTATGCGTCCGAAGTCATTATGGCGTGCGTCATCTGAAGAACTCGAGTGCGAAGGTCGTCATGCTTCGTTGTACGCTGGGCGTACTTCGGATATGCTCGGTGACTCCTCTTCGGATAATACCGGATTTTATAATTAAATTTTAATATTAATTATTTAATAAACTTTGAAAATTCATATCTTCTTCATACGAACTCCGTTTTCGATGTTCTTTACATCCACGCGTAGGTGAGACTACGCTCTACAACTTTCGTTTAGACTCCGTCGGCTAATTTTGAATTTATTTTTATTAATTATTTTTAATAGGCCGGGACAGAAAAATTCGTTATAAATTCATAACTTCTTCGTTTGACGTCCGTTCTTGCCTAACTTTTCATCGCTTCGATACCAACAACGAGATCTTCGATTCTCGTTTAGATTGTTTTGGCTAAAAACCGCTCGATCTCAAATCGAGTATTTCGGGCTGCATACCGCTAAGTCAAAACTTCAATAAATCATAACTTCCTCATACGAAGTCAGATTTGAGCGTTCTATATATATTCGGAAACCTCGTTTCAACTACTACAACATTATCCAAAGATAACGAGTTTATTTTACACTTAAATTTTAACGCTTATTTTTATTCTTAATTAATCAAACCACATAATTAAACAATTAAGCACAAAACACATAATACTCAAATAATACACTTCTATTATTTCAAAACGGGTTACAAAGGTTAACCTAGACTATTATATCAACATTAATGACAGGCCCAGAAACACAGGCGTTACAAGACATGACTCGACGAGTTGGAGCTGGAGGATGAAACCCTAATTTTCGAGGTTTTGCACTCGATTTAAAGGGTCGTTAGCCTCCCTTAGCCTCCCTTATAGCTCCTTGTGCATCCAGAAACCCTAATTCATGTGTGTGCTCCATTCTTGTGTGATTTTCAAGCTTGGAAGGTGTTTTGCAAGAAGAAGACTTGAAGTATAAAAGGAGTAGTGCAAGAGGAGCTAGTAGATCTGACTCTTCTGCTTCTTGGCATCAGTTTAAAGGTAACAAGTTGTTACCTTGACTTTCTTTCCTTCTAGATCTCATTATGTCGAAGATTAGGGCTTTTCTAGCATTTTATGTTACCTATTTTGGGTATGAGCTAGGATTTGAAGTTGCAACTTCAGATCTGAACTTACTTGGTCTTTATATCTTTAAAGTCTCTAGCTTTAGCAAGTATGAACCTTCTTTTGTGAGTTAAGCCCCATTACAAGCTTGGATTCGACATTCTAAGCCTTTAAGGCCTTGGATGCACATTGATGATGTGCCCCTCAGAGCGGGCCAAAAACAAGAGAGCCCCCGACGAGGACTTCCTAACGGAGCGCGGGCCAGCGACTCGGTCGCTTCGGCAACCCCGGACTCCTGTGAGGCGACCACGTAGGAAGTTCGCCCTCGCCAGGCTTTGTCCTTTAGCTATAGTCCAAGGATAACAGCTCCAGGCGACAAAGAGCACGGCCATAGCATTATCTTCTAGACCAATCGTTGGACCGGACATGAATATGGAATAGGGTCCTCCAATAAGGATAGTGGATCCTATCGAAATCGCAGTCCTTGTCCCTCATACGGATCGAGGAGGATCCTCGGTATAAAAGTGATGGGTTTTAGCCATAAGAACATCCTATGTGCTCATGCAAACCCTAATGCTTGGATCTAGGTTTCTCTATTGTACATGCAATTCATCCAATACTTTAAACCCTAGATCTAGCATATGATAATCAATATTAATATATGAATTAGGGTTTAGATCATACCTTGATTGTTATGTAGCAATAATAATCTCAAATCCTCCTTGTAATGACTTTAAAAAGCTTAGAGTCACATGTGTCACTCCTCTAATGGCTCACAAACACCAAGAGCAAGAGGATGAAGAATGAGAAGAGAGGAGGCACCAAAAAACGCATGGAAACCCTAGGGAAACTCTTGGCCACGTTTTTGGTGCTCTAGGGATCCTTAAATAATGAGGCTATTAGGGTTATCTAACAAGGAAACCCTAATTTGACTGCTTAGGCCCTAAGCAACCCATGGACTCCCTCCTTAGAGGCCTAGGATGATTTCTAATGGGTTTACCCATAGAGTTCATCCACCCCTCTAATATGGAGTCCATTAGCCCAATATTCAACTATCATACAATTGATAGTTCTAGTCCCTTAAGTTTAATTAATGTCTTTTAGCCACAAAATTAATTCTTAATTAATTATTGACTAATATTAATTAAACAATATGATTTCTCCATTAATATATTATTCTCATAATATATTAATAAATCATAATTAATCCTTTCTCTTTCCATAATTCATCCTATCAAGTTGCTTTGGTGAAGGCAACCCAAAAGGACCATGCACCATCGGGTCAAGTACATACCAAAATAGTTATGGACTTAGACACTAATCCAATAGTCTCCCACTTGGATAAGTCTAATAACTATTATGCGTATGACTTCAGATCCTAATCTGCAATCGTAGCTTTCAAAGCCGTTGTCAACTCTTATCTTATCAGATATGTGTCCTTTAGATAAGGGATCATATATTCCTTCATTCTAGATATCGTATAGACTGAGACATGGATTTAAATCATTCTCTTTGTCTATGTGTTGTTTCACGATTTATGATTTATGACGATGGACAACAGACTACAGTTGAACACATCAACTTAGTCCCTGCTTGGCCAAGCACTTAGGGTGTCATCACTAAATCATCGAGGGTCCCACAGATATCGCTTTCATCCCACTTTAGATAAAAGGAATGGATCAACTTTGATTCAATGTTTGCTTGCACTCACTCACCGAATCACACACAACAATATGTTTTATAACACCAAGTTACTGGTGCGTTTACATATTATCAAACCGACTCGCAAGATACGACTCACACATCTCAGTTTCAAGAATATAAGATATTATCGTCTCACCAATCACTCATGATAAAATCCATGAAGTGATCCAATTGAGTGTGGGTTTATTCCAATGCTCAAATCATATCATAAGCACTCATGAACGTTGCAGCAAACATTTGCTTATGTCTAATACACTTTAGACAATCCACACACCAGTTCATGACAGTCTTCATTCATACCTACTTCCAACATATGAACGACTGTGGACCGTTCGAATAATTTGATTATCTGAAATAATTTAATTATTCAGGAAGTCAAAACATGCAAAGTGAAACACAAGAATAATACTAATCCTATATGGCCCCAAACCTTTGAGTATAAATAAAACACCTTTTATTTAATCACCATATTGATTACTCATTATTTGTTGTTTCGGGTAATCAATTTTTTACTTGAATTATAACAACAATTGTCTCATGCTCTTAGCATGCACACAATGTTTACTTATGGTCCTTACTTTGTGAAATAGATCAAATGAACACATTTCCAATCATACTCATTTCACAATTCCCAATCCTTATCATAAGCATAAAAATATCAAATTCTTGCCACTTACAGAATATGCTAGATACTAATATTTTATGAAATGATCCTTTCGTAAAGTCATAGCTCAAAATCATCAAGACTTGGCCAATCTCTATCAGAAACAATTCTATAGATATGATGTCTCTCACTCAAAGTACATTCCTTTTAACATCCTTCTTGCATAAAAGTTTCTAATCTAGACATAGATTCTCAATATCCAACTCCTAATATGGAAACATTTCCATATTTGCCATATGACAACTCCTTCTTAATAGAATCTTATCTATTCATAATAATGTCGATATGGTCCATCCAATACCATACTTCCAACTACTCACAAGCAACCAATCTTCAGCGAATTTTGGCTCGTCCTTTGATAGTTGTTTAATTATTTTAGTCAAAACCGATTCTAGTCCTTTTTCCCTCTTAATGCGCTAGACATTTTGAAAATTTTAGAATGGTCAAATATTATAGTATTTGCAATCGATCCTATACCGAAAGCGTATGGGACATGATGCATAATGTCCTACATAAAGATATGATACTTTATCAATCTTCTGCCATAATATTTTATGTGTCACATTCTCCTAATTCAAACTATGAAGAAGGATGCCATAATCATAATCAAAATTGAGAACACACTATGTATCCTTGAATAAATTTATTAAAATTTCACAATCTAAGCCTTTAGATTTGAAATGAAGCATAATATTCTCTCCCTTAATTATAGCAAAACAACTTTTCAACCCTTACGAATTTGCAAAGTATAACTCCTGTTTTCTATAATTAATATTGCTATCTTGCAATAGTTTCCATAATAATCATATAAGCATAAAACTTATGCTCCCACTATCATGATGATTATTATCATACAAGTATAACACTTATGCTCCCACTAGCTTTGACATGTATTCAGAAAACAGTTGATAAGCCTTTATCAAGCTTCTTAAACTCATACACCTTTCAGTAGGTAGCTTATATGTGTCTCTGAACAATGCTAAGTCCTCAAATATTCAGACCAATTGCCAAACCTCACAATTCGAACTATGAAAAGGGATGCCGTAATCATAATCGAATTTGTGAACGCAATTTTCACAAGCACTATCTTCTTAAAATCTCTCTTAGTGAAAGAATTTCTTCACGAACGAAGAGAAATCTTATGACACTTAGATTTTAAGGTGCATGTGAATCTATCAAAACAAAATTCAACTCTTATGGATTGAACTTAATGTTAATTTCTTGCCTCATGGCAGCACGGGTGCCCACCATGTCTTCCAAGTTGTCAATAAGATTACCCCTTCCTATCAATGTACTTTCCATTGATTAGGGCGTCTTGACTCTATGCAATCCACATGAGAACTCATAGAACTCACATTGCATAGTCAACTTAAACCGGAATGGCACAGAAACAAAATTATGTCAGCATGATAGGTTACAAACCTCAAGTCGTTCGCTAGTATTTACTCTTGATTAATTCTTGAATCCTTTCAAGATCTTCAGACTCCTACTGACCTCTTGACATATTAGATTCTCTTATCAAGAACATTTCTTGATAAACAAATATCCAAGAGTTAGTGTGTGTCTATATCAAGAAAAAACATTACACACATTTGGTCTTAGTTGGTCTTTGGCTTCTTCAAGACATCACAACATACCAAATTCAAATGTGTAGGAGTAGAAAAACAATTTTCTACTTCACATTTGATGAATGCATGTCACTCAATTCACAACCTTGGAGTACGATTCTAAGACTTGATTTTGGAACGAAGTATGACTCATCCTTTTTGATTTAACTATCTCACACTACTAGAAAAACAGCCTTTTATGACGCTCATTGCGCGTCGTAAATGGCTCAGACGACGCGCAAATGCGCGTCAAGGAAGGCCCTGTCATAAAGAGAGACGACGCGCATTTACGATGCTCATTTACGACGTGCCTTTACGACACGCAATGCGTATCAAGGAAGACCCTGTCATAAAGGAATACAACACGCATTCGCGTGTCGTAACCTTACGACGCGCGTGTTAATGACATGCAATGCGTATCAAGAAAGACCCTGTCAAGAAATGCCATGTCATAAATGAAGATGACACACATTTTTGCATATCATAATTTTAAATGTTTAAAAAAATATTTTTTTTTATAGATTTACTAATTTTCAAATTAAATTTGCATTTAATGCATCATAATAGAAAATAAAATATCATATACAAAATATATAATCCATTTCATAAAATTTAATGTCATACAAAAATAGAATCCATTGCATAATATTTTATTACAAATTTAACATTTTTTTGTTTCTGTACTTTGACAATTTGTGTTGCTGCTGATTCCGGAGCCAATCTACGACTGCATTCCAGAGCTGATTCAGTGGAAAGAGCATCCCAGACTCCATCACTTGAAATTACAAGCCGCCCACAAGCAGAAGATAGCTGAAGATCATGAATAAATAAAAGTTGTTAATAAAAAGAGGAATAAATTGAGTTTAATTACTAATCACCAACACTCAAACCAATTAATGAAAGTTAAAGCATCTAAATAATATAGCATGGGATGCAAATATATCATGCATCGTACAAACAATGAAGATTTTTAGTTTCTGGAAGATTATTGACATCATTGGGATTAAGAGTTTTCTTTGCTTATCCACTGCACCTCATATGTTTCCATCACATTTGAAGGATTATAATGCTACATAGCTCTATTAAAGATGTGAAATATCTCTCTATTGTTATGCATGAAATCAAGACATATGATCTTCTAATACTAGAAAACAAGAGCTATTCGGAATAATAAAGCTACATACCTGAGTTTGCAAGAGGTATCGCAAGGTGCTGCCGACTCAAAAGCAAGCAGCCTTAGGCACTTATCAAGGACTGAACTGAGGATGCACATCCGATAGAAAAAAGTTAAAAGTATAATTACAAGGATTAATAAAAGTTATTCTTCAATAATGAGTTTATAAGGAGTTTCAAGATTTTATGACTCTTTTCAGCATCTGTAAAAAGTTTCTCAATTGTAATAGCAGTACTTCTGTTGAATATGTAATGGGTGATATTCGCAGTTGTACTTGTCCCTTGTTCACCAAGGAAAACATAAGAACTAGGGGAGAAGAAAATAGGGATTAGAACAGCAGAAAGAAAAAACAGAGGAACAATATTGGTTGGTGCTATAGATAACTTAACTGAATAAAACTTGGTTCTTAACATATTAAAAGGACAACGGTTACACCTATATATGCTAAATAAGATAGCATCCAAATATAACTTGAGGGGCAGACACAAGAATTTTCAACAATAGTGGCACCAAAGCCTGTAACAACAAAAAAGATAACATCAAGGCTTATCTAAAAGAAAACCAAATAAGCTCAATACACTTTAATAGCAACATGATAGAAGCATATGCAGTAGAACTAATCAGGTTATGTATAAAACTAGATACATTATATATTATACATAGATATAAATATAGGGAAATAATTTACATACCTGAACAACATCATTCCTTTGCTTCCTACGTTTTTGAGAGGCCTGAACTTGCAACTGGAGTTCCCTTATTGCATTAAGTATTTCTGCAAAGAATTTCCTCTCCTCGTTTCTACTCTATTCTTTTCTTCCTCCTCTAATTTTGTTAGTCTGTGCAGCAAATGATGTTAAAAGAAGAATAAGTATTAAACTAATAACTTCTTTTTTCCAAAAGCATACAAAGAAAATTCATAAACTTTTATCAACTAGTCAAAGAAAATATCCATCAAGATTCAAGATTTACCTCATCATCTCGTTTCTTCTTTTATCAACTTTTATCAACTAGATGAAAGTACACAGTTGTTTCTTGCATTTAACCCATTAAATGTTAATCTTTAGATACAAAAGAGAATATGGAAAAGCAAGATGTTATAAACTACAGTCTACCTTAAGTCCATAGAGTTCAAGCAAACACTTTGACTGAAGGTCTTCACCTATGCTTGTAGGTAATTCTAAATTCATGATAAAGAAACAAATGAGTAAAGTTAAATGATATCTACTAACAACTTCACCTGCCAGTAAATAAAATGTTAAAGTATAATACATATGCTTCTTATGGCAACCTTCAAGTTGTGTCAAACGATTTTGGATGTGGCTCTCGATCCATTTTTTCCTTGTTTCTGCCATTTCAGAACCAGTTATGTGATTAGATCGATGTTTGACCAAAGCCTCCTCAAGGTCTGCCATTAAATCTCCTCCATTTGGAAATGGAGAGTTATTCTTTAACGATATCAAAAAGTTAGGCAAACACACCATGTAATAGTTATAAGTAGAACATATTTTACTCGGTAAATTCTCCTAAACATGAACAGTAGACCATAGGTCTAAAACTGAAACTGAAATTACTTATCCATTGAACACAGGGCCGGCCCTGAGATTTAGGGGGGCCTGTACAAATTAGGAAAAATAGGCCCTAAGACTGATAAAATATAAAATAATATAAAACAAAAATATGTAGTTTTTCATTCCATGTCATAATGAACCAAACACAGGTCAAAAGCTACAAGGCAGTTCACGTAGACAAATAGAAAAGTTGAATTCAACTAGAGAGAATTGCAAGAACACATAAACCACTGCTATCTTCAATGCTCATAATGGTTTCTACACATTCATAAAGTATTGCATTCCCTGCATTCTTGTTTGACTCAGTTTTTGTTGCCACCTACACAAGGAATTTCTTAAATTCTTATAATTTTGAATTATATATCACAATTCACAATGAGCTTTATTAAAATAAAAGCTAACCTAGGCAAGAATGTGATTCATGGAATCATTAGCATCAGCATCTCCATGGCCCAAAACACGCAAAAGGCGAAGCAGTCTTATATGAAGAAAAGGGTCTGCAATACCTGAAACATCATATTCAGGAGCATATGGGTTGTTGACAACATCCTTCAAAACTTTCACCAACACCTCTGTGCATTCCTATACCAATGGAAGAAAAAAGAAAATATATCTCATCGCTAAAATTACTAATTTGCACTTATACAATCATATGTCAGACAGTTCTTAGCGCAAATACACAGTAGAAAGATAAAGAAAGAGAACAAGAACTAAAGGAAGACAATCCCAACAAATAATAGAGGATCTTTAACAAGATCAAGTATATTTACCTTCCTGAAAATTTCAAGAGCCTCTTCATTAAGGTTACAGAGATTTGTACAGAGTTGGATTGCTATTAAAAGAACCCCATGATGTTTTTCTTTAAGTAAGGAAACAACAGGGTTGACAAGATTTTCTGCAAGGTTAGGGACCTTCTTTACAATCCTTATTGAGCACAATGTTGCCTGTAAATTGTAAGAACTTATGTGAGTATGATTCTTCATATGAAATGTGAGAATTAGATGAAACATCCTTGAGAGATCATGAAATGAAATAAATGTTAACATCAGCTTACTTTCTTTTGAATATTTGGATCTCGAAATTGCAGCAATCTTTCAACTTCAGGTGCAAGATCACGAGCCATTTATGCAGAACATGTATTACCCAAAGCACAAAGAGCTAGTCCCACAATGTACTGATTGGTGTGGTTAAGATCTCTGCAGATGATGAAAAAAAAGATTCTCAAGTCAACCATGTTGCTTGAACACAAGATACAGGAAAGATAAGAGTGAAGAAGCACATTCTTTTCTAACAGCAGCACGCTCTTCTGCAGCAGTTTTGCAGGCTCGTATTGCCCTAATAATGTCCCTGCAGTAGACCAATAATGTTTCATTTACAGTTTCAGACCCAACTAATTAACAACAAATTACGCATGTGGTATGAAATGTAGTCAAATCTTTTGCAGGTGAAGGATAAACCAAAAAGATGGAAAATCTTAAGTAGAGAGACATATGGTTTGCGAGGGATGGTTCATGACAGAGTTCACGGATTATCTTCACACCCAAATTAGGATCTTATAATTTAGTGACAGTGTCTTACTCATTTGAGTGACCTATCCAATCGGGAAATACATGGATGAATTCCATTAAATGTACGCAAATCAAATGCCCCAACTATTACGAACGCGAACTAACTCTCAATATAGACAACTTGAGATAACGTTAATACAAATTAGGTCGAAATGAAGAACTAGTTCAAAATTGATCACAAGGAAAAGCTTTAAAACATAAGATCAATTGTAAACAAGCAACTTACCTTAGACGCGTCCCAGACGAAAAGGGCTTCATGATTAGGTCGGTTTTGAAACCGCGAGAGAGCTCGATTAGATCCTGAGATGTTTAGTGCAAAAATGAACTATATAACCGGGTTGTAGACTGGTGACTGCAATTATATGTATGTTTGATCAAATCGAGATCTGGGGAAAGGTCAATTACGAGGATCTGAAAAGGAATTTGAGATCTGTAACCTATGGATGCTAATGCAAACGTGATGATGATGACCAAAAATCTTGATTTCTCTCGCTAAATTCTTAGTTCAATCCGAGCTAGGGCTTGTAAGGCCCTAAATCGCCGGCGCTGTGTGGGATGAGAAGCGGTAAGGTCCTAAATCGTCGGCTTTAGGATATAAGTAGATGGAGCATGTAAGTTCTTCACACTTTCAAGCATAATTGTAACCCAATCGTCGGCTCAAGCATAATTGTAACCCAATCATAGTCACCCAACGCAAAAATATGCGATTTTGGAACGGCGGAACTCTATGGCGAAACCGATAGCAGCTTGTACGCTTTCGGAGTTGTACTTCTTAAGATATCGTCAGGCGAAGAAGGCAAGTGACGAACGAAGGAAGGAATGTCGATAACTAGGCAAGGCAGCAGTCGAATCTATGGAGGGGGAAGAAAGGATCGTAATTAGGGCAAGAAGGAAACAAAAGTGGAGGATAAAAAAGAAGGCGGGTGTTCAAAATTTTTGGGATTTCATTTTCCCCTTATCTAGTAAACGCGTTTTTCATTAAAATTATAAAGCGACATTCATAGAGGACGCCCATTTAGGATACAGCGCCCTCCGTGTTTTTAATTTTTTCTTGTATGACGCTAATTCAAGGGCACGCAATAATGCGTGACCTAAATCCTTAAATTTTTTGAAGAGATGACGCTTTTTTAACATCACTCTCCATTGCGTAACATAAATCAATGAGTGTCGTGGTTTGCGCGTCGTAAAAGGCTATTTTTCTTGTAGTGTCAACAATTTCCGATTCCTCTTCTTAGCCATACTAGTGCACTAAGATGTCCTTAGAGAATCAATTTTGATATAGTTCTTAATCATTAATACGATCATAAAATCTGATACAAAAGTACTCTCCCTTCTTCTTAGATTGGAGAAACTTTTATCTTTCTGCCTAATTGATTCTTCTTATTTGTTCTGCCATTCATTGAAACCTTTTCAATGTTTCAGAATTCTACTTAATCTTGTAAGCATAACCACATTTACTAGACTTTTAGTAAATTATGGTGAATAGTTTTATTGTTATTTGTGGTGGACTTGACTAGTGCACAACATTGTGTTCTATTCCTTTAGTCCTTTACTTGACTCATATAATTGTGTGATCAAGGAATTAGTCTTAATTTCCTAAGTACCAAGATTTCCATACATCACATGATTCAAATCATATGACTCCAAGTTTCTGTCCAATTGAAACTTGGGTGATGGGAATCTTTCCTTACTTAGAAATTTTGACACTACTATAAATAACATAACTAAGAATCACATCCATTTATAGAAACACACAAACATCAATTTTTCACAAGGATTTCATTGCAAGGATATACATAAATAAGATAAATCAAAATTTATTTTATTCATAAAAGCATCTGAAAACATGTCCTTATAATGCAAAATCAACTGAAAAACTATGTAATCAAATATTCCTAACAACTCTATCATAACTTCCTATGCTCAAAATCTGATCTTCGAATCCATGCGATCGTGATCCATTTCTTCGTGATCAGACTCATCTTGTTGTTCCATCAAGCTTCCTCCCTTTTTCTCTGATTCTGCAAAACATTCAAATGTAATCTTATCACATTATTTATTAAGAATCAATGAATAGGAACTTAATGGAGTTAGATAATGGAGTTTACCTGAAGTAGAGTCATACATCTTGACTCTCCCATCTCTTAGATCTCTCAGGTATACTGGGCAACTTCGTCTCCAATGCCCCTTCTCTTGGTAATAAAAGCAAATTGACTCTTTTGGAACAGCACACAGAACTACTTCAGACTTTTCCTTTCTCTTATGATCAAACTTTTCGACCATGGCATGCCTTTTGTTGCCATTGCCTATATACATAGAGGTCTGGAAGGCAGATTCACCAATCAACTTTTATTTTCCAGTGTGCCAAATCATTACTGATTCAACATCAATAAGCATATAGGTGAGATTGATGAGGGTTACGTCGTGGTTCATCATATAGTACTCTCTTAAAAACTCACTATATGAGTAAGGAAGCGACTGAAGAACCCAGTCAACAGCCAGATCCTCACAGACAATAGATCCCAACATTCTTAACCTATCAATGTGTGACTTCATCTCTAAGACGTGTGCACACACTGACTTTCCTTCGTCGTGTCTACTTGCCAAAAGAGCTTGAGTGAACTTGAACTTTTCAAGCCTTTGAACTTGTGGGTTAGGGAGAACAATAGGAGGAGGTGGAGGAAGTGAAGTATGATCTCGTGTTCCTCGATCGAATCGTGGAATATCATCTTCATGTGGAAATCTTGTTCCACGGGATTTGGGAAGACCATAGTTGTCATACTTTGACATCTACAAAACGGGAGAAAATTCAAGTTAATTGATTAATTGAGTCCTTAATAAATCACCCAAATGCGATATTAAGGCTACAACCCAACACAATACTCTACAACTTGGGAGAGGGATGTTGTAACCCAAATTGCAGAACATTTGAAGGTAAGTGAATGACGATTCACTAATTTTCCACCATATAAAACGAAAAGGAGATTAAGTTTTTAAATGTATTGAAAAAACTCCTAGATCCTTTGAGATTCATTGAACTTTTCAATGGCATGTTTAAATCTCGATATGCCCCTCGATTTGTGACTGGGATGCCAAGGATCACAAAACAGGGTGTGAATAACCATGCAAACTTACATGGTGCCCCTAATGTTACAGTCACCTATTTGATGTACCGGTTAACCACACACGCTCCACCGAATTATGACAAACATTGAGTCACCCTTTGCTACCTTTGCTAAGAACCATTTAGTGTGCCGGTTAACCATACACGCTCCACTAACGTCTTCGCAAGGGCACAAAGTTTAATTTCATGGAATTGCATCAATTCACTTTTTCCTAAAGTAACTAAGATTGGGAATTTTGTATAAAAATTTAGTTACTTTATGCTTGATTATACTTTTAATGGAAAGGGTTCGCCCTATCCTACCCGTTCAACTAACGACCCTCCACTAGTCAAGAGTGCAGTGGGTAAGAGTGGATACCCATTCAATTGCCATTTTATAGGCAATTTCCTTAAACACCCCTTATAGACCAGCTTCGTGAATGAGGCCTACTAACGGTAAGACTAGCAGTTTAAGTTATACATATAATATTAGACTTTTAATGTTATATACAGTATAAGGGTGTATTTTACACTTTTAAAATACTAGGTGGTCTAATTTAATAAATTATATTTTTAATTTAATTAAATGTAAACCATATCACTATGGATTTATTAACTCTCTTTTAATTATACACTTAATTAATTTAATAAAACCATAAGGGTGCAATTTGAACTTTTTCAAACTTAGGGTTTTAGAATTTAACACCTTTTAAAATTAAACTTTTTCATTAAAATTTAAATTCCAAAATTTGAGGGCAAGTTTTGAAACATTTCAAATCATTAAGGTTTAGAATTTAAATATTTCAAATCAAACCTTTTAATAAAAAATTTTAATTTCAAAACTTAAGTGCAAGTTTTGAAACTTTTCAAAACACAAAGGATCAAATAGAAAATAATTTAAATTAAACAATTAATTTAATGATTATCTAAATTTGACCTAGTCACTATTACTTGCAAGACAATTTACCAATTTAATTCAAATAATCAATTATTATCATATAAGGAAATTATCATTCAATCAAATGGTAATTATCTTTTATTTTGCCAAGAATATACTCAAATATATGATAAAATTCGGATATTAATGACGAAAGCAATTAAGGCAAGTATCCTCAAGCAAAACAGCAAGAAATCCTGAAATCTGCCCTTACTGACGCTCGAAATCGCTGAGTTCCTCTATGAACTCGCCGAGTTGAAGCTACTCTCCGAGTCCATTATGGAACTCACCGAGTTCATCAGTCAGGGAGACAAAAAAAATGATTTTCAAAGCTTAAACAAATAAACAAGGCATCAATACAATAGAAACCAATCAAGGCTCTGATACCACTGATGGGTTTTAGCCATAAGAACATCCTATGTACTCATGCAAACCCTAATGCTTGGATCTAGGTTTCTCTATTGTACATGCAATTCATCCAATACTTTAAACCCTAGATCTAGCATATGATAATCGATATTAATATATGAATTAGGGTTTAGATCATACCTTGATTGTTATGTAGCAATAACAATCTCAAATCCTCCTTGTAATGACTTTAA